TCGCCGATGAGAGGGCTAGGTGAGAGGAGAAATGTGCATTTTTCGACCGATCTGGGGTCGTAGCCATGATTTTCTGGCGAATGTTTAAACTTTCCGATGAATATATGAATTTTTTACGAAGGTATGAAGTTTTCGATGAACCTTCAAATGAACTTCTAGGGAGTGCACCGGGGAGACTTTCCTCGTACGAATTTATGGATTTGCCTATCGGAGAGGATTTAAACCAGTCGGGGATGATCCCATCGCGTCTTTGTTCGTTTGAGTAAGGGCTTTGGCCGAGGGCGTTGTTCTTGTGCCTTTGTACGCCTTTTAACTTGATTTGCGGTGGAAGGATGAATTTGATTTGATAGGCGAATTCACTATTCTCCTCTGCTTTTCAGGTGAAAATGTCTTCCAATTCTGAGGATGGAATATGCCCGAGTAGACCGAATCTTCCGAGGAGGAGTTGACAGCTTCAGATCCAGCTTTGGATCCAGCTTCAGATCCATGGGATTGAATAGCTCTAGAGCCTCGAGGAATAGCCTCGATGTATGCTTCTTTCCTCGGGGAGGCGTTTATGGATGTTGGAGGGGAGACTAGTTCCTCAGGTGCCGAGGAGAATTAAAGGGTCTTATTCCCCGGGGAAGATGAAAGGATTTGCTCGCCTTATGACATTGACCGATTCCCCATGTACGGATATGTTTTCAAAGAGACGGGGCTTCAGTTGCCTTTCTCCGTCCTTCAAATGGCATTTTTTGCCCATTTAGATATGGCACTCTCGCAACTGCATCCCAATTCGCTTGTCTTCACTCGGGCTTTCGAGCTTGCCTGTGACTACCTCGAGATTGGGGCCATCGTCGCTCTCTTCTTTGCTTGTTTCCATCTTTAGTGGTTGACGACCTCGGAGGGGAAATTTTCCTGGGTGTCTTTAAAACAGTCGAAAAAGTTGTTCAAAGCATACTCATAGTGTATTTGTACGTTCGAGGATAAGTACTATGTCATTCTACCTGTGTTGAGGAAAGCTATAGATTCCTTGATCGTCTGGGAAATCATGAGGAATGATATTGGAAATCCCCTTCTCAACGAGGATGGTCGGCAGAGGGGGCATCAGGTTCAGAGGTTCCAATTTTCTTGGATTCAGGATCATTTTGATCAAAAAACCGAGGAGTACCTTGTGCGACCGAGCAACCTAGAGGGGGAGGATTTGGCCTCCTATAACAAGCTTGTGGCCTTGTTGAAAGCTTCATCCCTGCTGAGTGTGTGACCAAGTGCTGGGAGGTCATTATGGACGACGATATAGAGCCTAAGCTTGCAACTCAGCTTATTAGTACGAATGGGTTCCTCGACTGTGCCACTTACGAGAATGCCCTAACAATTTCAGGTAGCCTTTTGTTTAGTGGCTTGTTTTTTATCATCTTATTTGTTTTACTGATTTGTGCTTGTTGCTTGTTGTAGGTGAAATATCGAACGCGCATGAGCGTATAGTCAAGATGGCAACCACCAACAAAATGAGGCAACTGAAGAAAGCTCTGAATTAGAAAAACTTAATGGGAAGTAATCCACTTCCTCCTCTTACTAGGTATGGGACCTCCTATTCTACTCCTCCTGGCGAGCATCCTTTCCCCAAGCAGGTGACCTCAGTCTAGAAACGTCATCGCGTGGGAGCGATCCTGGTGACCTGACTAGGGAGGGCCACAAAGACATATATGAGTTGCCTCCTTGTTGGTTACATCAAGGCTACTTTGAGGGGGGGGGGGGGGGGTCCTTCTTTGAAAGTACCACAGTAGGAATCTCTGCATCTAGAGGATATCAATCAGTCGAGGAAGAGAAAAACCCTTGCTTAGAATGTCGTAGGTTTGATGAGGATTCTAGAGTTGGCGGTGATCCATACTGAGGATGAGACCCCTAGTGCCAAGGAGGTGAGGAATGCTTGTGCGACTATCATAACTCTCGAGAAGAGGATGGCCAAGATGAAGAGTGAGAAAAAGAGAAAGCAACATTGACCAAGCAGGCTAAAAAGATGGCCCAGTCAAACAAGGAGCTCAAGGATAGAAACACCGCATAGGAAGCTGACGCGACCCCAGCTGAGGATAAGACCGAGGAGCTGAAGCAGATGAGGATTTGTGTTGAATTGGTTTCCTGTCTCCGTCAGGCTGAGGAGGACTGTGTGTCAATTTGTAATTTTAGATTTGCAATTGGATGAAAGCAAACTTGAGGGTCCAGGTTGATCCTTTGAGAAATGAGAGGGCAAATTTTGGGGTACAACACATATATATGTTATTATTATTATTTGTATAAACAAATTAATAATCAACGCAGATGGCAAGGGCATGGATATGTGAAACCAAAGACCTGGGTTCGATTCCAGACGTGCATATTTTGTTATTTTCTTAACCTTCTATGCAGGATTCAATGCGTCTCATGCTTAGAGGTCAACCACGCGCCCTTAAATCTCACCCTTGGGACCTGTCTCCAGCCAGATCCAAGGTCCCACGCTGGCAAAGTCTATGGTGCACCCTCAGAAGATGATCTCATTGGATCAGGCGCTAGACTCTAGACCACCAGCTTTGGACCTAACACAAATTTGGCAGCACCCCCCCCCCCCCCCCCCCCAGTCTGCTCATGACATCAAACCCAATTCCTTTAATTCTTTTTTCTAATTTCTTTATTTATTTTGTCTTAATTTCTTATTTTAATTATTTTCACAAAAATATTTTTTTATTAAATCATAAAATCAGAAAAAAGTTAGATTTGGTTTTTTTTTATAAAATATTTAATTGCAATTAATTAATTAGTTTAATTAGGTTAATCTAAATTCCTCTTTTTTTGTAATTAAAATTCAATAGAAATTAGGGTTAACTTGAAAAACTTTTTTTATATATTTAAAATTAAATAGAAATTAGGTTAATTTGCAAGATTAATTGTTTTTCTCAAAGAAATCCAAAAATATCTTTTCTTCATTCCCGTCTTAATTATTCGCGCGCGTTTTATTTATTTATTTCGAATTATTGTATCTGCTTTGGATTTGTAATAGATTAATTAGGATTTTGAATTTCCGCATCTTTATTTTCAGTCAAATATTGGTGTATCTGTCCAAAAGCCTTGTAATAGATAGGACTTTAATTTCTCACATTTTTTTAATTTCCGCAATCATTAAACTGCTAGATGTATGGATATTAGGGTTGTATGCGAAAGATAAATCCACGATTAAAAAGGTAGATACCCCTAATTGTGCAAAGATAATTAATTAAAAAAACACACTTGCACATGCTCACTCCTAGGGTTTGCCCCACTTGGTTGCCTAAGAAATAATGGTCGTGTCCCTTGAATGTAGGGATACCTTAGCAATGACCCGCGATTCAAAGTCGTCATAAAGATCATAGTCCATACTTGTCCGTCGAGTTGCCTACGAATTGATCGTATGACGATAATCCCTTCGAAATACTAAGGTATCCTTACTTGTTGCCTTCAGAGACCATTTCGTCCCTTCGAACGTCCCTTAAAATTCCAACGACGGAGCTACCTACTCCTTAATAGTAGAATAACGTTGTCTAAAGGAAACGAAAACGAACAAACTTTTTTCGAGTAGGTAGAAAACTCTTAAGTATTTGCTCAAAACAAAAGCTTTTCACACCAACATTTTTCAAAAACAATTTTTAAAACAACTTAGGCACACTCTTGAAGACATATACAAGGGTTATCACGAAGTAAACAAAACTTTTTGCAAAACACACACAAGCAATTTCAAAACATGAGCTAACCACCTAAGAGCCCGTGGATAATCACAGATAGAAATGGTGCTAATACCTTCCCTTTCTATAATCTACCCCCCGTACTCAAAAACTCTCGAAAAAAGGTTTTTTCTGTTCTTTTTCCTTTCCTTTGTTGGATGAAATAAAAATCAGTGGCGACTATTTCTTACCACAACATTTGCGAATACAAAACGCAAATCAGTATAACATTCGGTTCTGCCACCGTATCACACACGGGAAAGCGTGATCTGATCGTTCCTAGGTGACTGTCTTCGTGCGACTGACAGGATGAGGGCTAGCCTGTTCTGAGCGGACAAATGTGGTCTTCTTGATCCTGAGGGTCAACCGACCAGGGATCCTCGAGTGAGGGGCAGAAGGGGAAAATATCCCTTATCTATTCCAGATGATTGGGCCAAGGTCATTGGACCATCCTAAACGCAGAAGTGGATTGGACCCTGCTTACCTATTGGGTCAGTCCAAAACAAATTTCAAGATGCTAATGTGTGTGCATGTACTCTATATTGTCTCATCATATTAAAAAATGTATTGTCCTATCACTATTAATTATTTTTAAATTCTTTGTATCACATATTTCCTATATATATATATATATATATATATATATATATATATATATATATATATATATATATATATATATATATATATATATATATATATATATATATATATATATATATATATATATATATATATATATAAAATCCTAAATTCTCTAAAAATTAGTTTTCATAGCTATGATTAGGATAATCAAAGTTTATTGATTTTTTTTTATATGTTCAAATGCATAGACATAAGTGGCAAAACAATCAACAATCCAATCTGAAACTTAGTCTAAAGTTTTCATAGCTATGAAGATGATTACATGTAAATAAACAAAGAATTGCCTACAGAAAGAAATATTTTTATCGGTACATGGATATTGTTGGAAGTCTAAAACATGAGAATGTGATATTTGATTACTGGAGTGTCTTTTCTTTATTGTATGGTATGTATCATTATTTTATAAATAATATTAAAACAAAATTAATATTTACATATGAAAAGATATATCAATGTTCTAAATATTTGTATATATGAAAAACTATATTTATATTCCAAATATAAATAAAAATATGTTTTTCTTTTAAAAATACAAAATTTGACCCCCAAAAAATAGTAATATTAGATAGCAAGATTCAGGTTTGTACTCTCGCTAACATCACAGTCACAGATCGAACAAAGTTTCATTCTGTTCTCCCGCCACAAATGGTATGTTAGGGTTCTTCCTTCATCTTCTATCTTTCTCTTTTTTTCTTCTCTTTTCAACAACAATCGATTATTCTCTTTCAATTTCTTACCTAATGTTTCTTTTTATTTCTTCGAATTTGGAATGACAGAGTGATATACGGAAGTGGTTCATGAAATCACATGAAAAAACCAACAATGCTGCCGCCGGTAACTCCAAACCCTCCAATCCACCGAAACCTTCGCCGGTTAAACCCGACCCGGAGAAAACGGTTAGTGCTGTTACGCTCTTCGATATACTTGTTTTTAGTAATTAACTTTGATGAGTTTTTTTGTTAAACCCTAAATGCTACATGTATGTGAAGTTGAAACACTGATTTCGTTTCGGATTTCGTAGATTCTATTGTTAGGTTATGAATGAAAAACTAGTGAAATTCGAAGAATGCGAGATCATTTTTTATTGACATGTTTTGCATTGCAGATTTTCGATTGTGTATAGGTTTGTTTGCATGTTAATTATTGAGACATAGCGCTTAGGACTTGTTTGTATTTTAATATATGAAAACTTGTGAGTTTAAAGAGGAAAAATGTCCTTTTGTAGGTACCTGAAGGTCAAACAAGTTCGGTTAGAAGGAAAACTAGCAAATATTTTGATAAGGAAAAATCAAAGCCGAAAGATGAGATTGAAGAAACACAAGCGCTTCCGGCTAAAAGGAAGACTGTGAACGACAGTAATGAAGATGATGGAAAGAAGTTAGCTGGTTCAACTCCTACTAAGAAATTGAAGAGTGGTTCAGGTAGGGGGATCCCGCAGAAGCCTGTGGATTTGGATGGAAGTGATGAAGACAATGAGAAAGATGGCGTGTCTCCTATCAAATCTGGTGGTAGGGGTCGTGGTGGAAGAGGAGCATCGACACAAACAACTGGTGGGAGAGGCCGAGGGGGTGGTAGGGGAGCCCCCAAGAAATCTGCTGATTTGGAAGAAAGTGATGAAGATGATGAGAAAAGTGCTGCTAAATCTGGTGGAAGGGGTCGTGGTGGAAGAGGAGCCTCTACGCCAGCATCTGGTGGGAGGGGCCGAGGAGGTGGTAGGGGTGGATTCATGAATTTCGGTGAAAGAAAAGATCCACCACACAAGGGTGAAAAGGTTAAAACTTGTTAATTATCTGTGGATCTATCAATTGGAACTATTTTCTGTCAATGAACTGACATTTCTTTCATTTGTCAGGAACTCCCTGAAGGTGCTCCTAACTGTTTAGCTGGTTTAACGTTTGTAATAAGTGGAACACTAGACAGGTATTCACATAAATCTAGACTTGCACGGAGCAGTACATGATTTACATATTGTTGCTTCCTCATCTCATACTCCCACATTTTCTAGTCATTATTTTGTTTATGTTTATGTTCTCTTTCCATGTACAGTATTTACTAGGTCATCACTTATTTCATGTCATTTTTACTCTATTCAGCCTTTATATATTTTTTCTTTTGTATATTTATAGTTTGGAACGAGAAGAAGCAGAAGTTTTGATTAAACGCCACGGTGGCCGTGTCACCGGATCAGTCAGCAAGAAAACAGTTATATAATGCTTTTTATTTATTCAATTACAATTAAATATACTCAATCCTATGCAATAACCATCTTTTGTTTGCAGAATTATTTGTTATGTGACGAAGATATTGGGGGAAGGAAGTCTGAAAAAGCTAAAGAGCTAGGGTTGGCATTCTTATATTTATACTTTTATATATTTCAAGGAAGGTTAAAAGGGTTTTCATATTTTGCTGACACATGTTTTATAGGACTTCATTCCTCACAGAGGATGGGTTGTTTGATATGATCCGGGCATCAAAACCCGCAAAAGCTCCTAAGCAAGATGAAAGCAAGAAATCTCTGAATAAGGCTGTTGCAGTGCCATCCCCGTCAAAAGTTCCTCTGAAAGCAGAAACAAAGGCTGTTGCAATGCCATCCCCTTCAAAAATTCCTTTGAAAGCAGGAACAAAGGGTAAACCCTATAAAGTATTTTGTAGTTTTCTGTTACTTGTTTTGTTCTTTGATTTCCCTTGTTAGTATTGAAGAGTTAACAGCTGCTCCTAGAGTAAAGTTGTTACTATCAAAGGGTGTTCATTTATTATATTCTAAGTTGCATTTCTTTATCACAAATGCAGCCTCTTTGTCTTCATGCTCACCTTCCAACCAAGTGAAGCTTAAGAAAGCTGCTACTGTTCAGTCTAATGTGATGTGGACAGAGAAACATCGACCTACAAATCCAAAGGATATCATCGGGAATCAGTCACTTGTATAATACCTTGTCCTCATTACCATATTTCAGTGGTTAATTTTTTCCATATGGCCTACTTGAACATGGATCATCATTTGCCCTTATCATAAATGTAATGGTTTACAGGTTTTACAGCTTCGAAATTGGTTAAAAGGTTGGCATGAGCAATTTTCTAACATAGGTGGTATTAAAAAAGGAAAAAAGCAGAATGACTCTACTTCCAAAAAGGCTGTCTTGTTAAGTGGAACCCCCGGTATAGGCAAAACAACATCAGCAAAGCTGGTGTGTCAGGAGCTGGGTTTCCAGGCCATAGAGGTGGTGACATTTCTTATTAAATGCATACATCGCAAAGGCTTTTTGCTACCGTGTTTTTCTCTCACGTCCATGTTTGTATTGAAGGTAAATGCCAGTGATAGCCGTGGAAAAGCTGATAGCAAAATTGAAAAAGGAATTAGCGGAAGCAATTCAAATTCTATCAAGGAACTTGTGACGAATGAGGCCCTTGGCCCTAATATGAATAGGTTGGTCATTCATTATCATAATAAGTAGTTAGTGAGTTCATATTATACACATTATAATGTTTCTTTAAGTGTAAATTCCAGGCCAAAGCAGTCCAAAACTGTGCTCATTATGGATGAAGTTGATGGGATGTCAGCTGGTGATAGGGGTGGTGTTGCTGATCTTATTGCTAGCATCAAGATATCAAAAATTCCCATTATCTGCATTTGCAATGACCGTTACAGCCAGAAATTAAAAAGCCTAGTGAACTACTGTTTGCTTCTTAGTTACCGGAAGCCTACAAAGCAACAGGTCTTTCTTGCTAGATGTCATTGTTTCTCTTTTATTTTATGTAAATTTAGAACCATCATTCATTATATTAGATCCTTTTATTTCTCTCTTTTCATCCGAATCACATGGATTTGTTCAACTTCTGTTTATCTAACATGTAAAAACAACAGGGATCCCTTGCTTGTACAGTTATTAGTGGTGTTCCCCTGCCAAATTTTATGGTTATTTTATGTTATGCATAATAGAGTGGACTTTGCCAGTTACATGAACAAATGAGTGCTGTTTATTGCCGAATACTGATGGGATATCAAAATACAGTTTCTCATCAAAGCTAGTATTTGATTTCTAACATGTCCTTTTGATAATTATCCTCTCTTTCATGGCCACTTTATGTTACTTGACTATGGAACAAGAACATTTTTGCTTGTGTTTTATATCTACTAATTGAATTTGCTCAGTTCTTGAATGTCATAAACTTGAACATTTGCTCACTTCCATGTATTTCTCTGTCTTATGATATTGGTGTTCCACTTTGGTCAAGTTTAATGTGTTACTTTCTTGAATCTCTAATATTTTGGTGTTGTGTATGATCGTGACCTTGAATTAGTGTGCAAATGATCCGAGTTTTTTCATCCATGATGACTTAGCTTGACCTTGAGTTAGTCTTACTCTTAAGTGAATCTAGATAAAATTAGTAAATCTTATATAGAGAAAGTAACCTATTCTCTTATCCCACTGTTTTCACTCTACTCCCTAATAAAAGATGGGGTGTATTTATGAGTTATTATTTTTTTTTGGTTACATCCTCATGGAATTAACTTTCGTTGCTACTCAATGACATATGGTCTATCATATATGAGGATCTAGTTGTCTAAGTCTTTTTTATCAAACTTGCTTACTCTAGAATGTAAATTATCTACAGCTTGTAGCATTAGTTCTGAAGTCTGAATTATGCTTAACATGTTAAAACAAGCATGCTGAGATGTGGTGTATTTCTGAGTACTTTTTTTTGTTACTTCCTCATGTAAGTAACTTTCGACGCTACTCAATGACATATGGTCTATCATATATGAGGGTCTAGTTGTCTAAGTTTTTTTTTAATCAAACCTGCTTACTCTAGAATGTAAATTATCTACAGCTTGTAGCTTAACATGTTAAAATAAACATGCTGAGGTATGGTAGCTTATAACTTAAATTTTTATTTATACCAGATGGCAAAGAAGTTTATGGAGGTTGCAAAGGCTGAAAGGCTTCAAGTTAATGAGGTGATTTTTGCCAACATAGTTCTATCTTATATCTTGGAGAGTTTTACTCTACTTGATTTTGTGGGCTATGAGGGTACACATTTACTTTGAATCACTGATATCCGTCTCACAATTTTTTCTAAGTTCGTATTGAATAAAGTACTATTTTGAATCATTCACCATGTTTGTTTTAGATTGCTCTTGAGGAATTAGCAGAAAGAGTTAATGGAGATATGCGAATGGCACTAAACCAGTTACAATATATGGGCCTCTCCATGTCAGTTATCAACTACGACGATATCAGGCAGCGCTTACTTACCAATGCGAAAGATGAAGACATTTCACCATTCACAGCTGTTGATAAGTATGACATATATTATCTAAGTGCTGCACTTAAAAACTGTTGCATTTTATTAACCTTTTCGAGTGGCCAGTCCCCTAATGTCTGTCAAATCTCGCAATCAGATTGCTCTGATATATGCTAGTAAAAATAGGGATGACTGATGAGGATATATGTTATATAAATTGAATGAATATTTCATGCTTTCATTCATAACATTGCAGTTCCAGTGTAGGAGGGGGTAAAAGAATTTTATTCTTGCAGATTTAAAATTGGTGTCAAATATTGTCTAATCATAGCTGGGTTTTTAGATAACATATGTTCATAGCCTCAATTGGAGGCTGTCTAGACTTTCAAGTTCAAGTAATAGTAGTATAATATTATAGGGTAAGTAAAAGTGCCTTGAAGGTAAGGGCTCAATTGACGTGGCCATGTGTAAATAAAGTAGGGTTTTATTTCATGTATAAAATCCTTATAAAAATGGTTTGGTTTCGCTCTCTTTTGTTCCACTAAACAACAGTTGTCATTCTGGGTGATGCTTCCTTGGAATGATTATATTTTTAATTACCAGCATTTGAGGATCATGACTTTCGTTTCAGTGGTTGATCTATAACTTCTATTTAGTTTTGCTTAACGTCGTAAGTGTGAACGTGGGGATATTTATAAGGTTTATGATAAGTTATATATATCTGTTAACTTATTGTCATTTGACTCATTTCATCAGCGATTCAAGGTGTGCTCTGCATGACAATATTTAACAGAAGGTTGTGACTGAGCTGAGTTAAAATTTATGATTCTTTTCTTGTCTTGTAGGCTTTTTGGTTTGAATGCTGGAAAGATGAGAATGGAAGAGAGGATTACTCTTAGCATGAGTGACCCTGATCTTGTTCCTCTACTTATCCAGGTTCTCTAATAATTTCCAATTTTGTATGCCTCGTTTTGTCTTGGGGTCATCTTTTCTGCCCCAATTATGTACTGAAATTTATACTTAGTAGCAGTCCAGTGTTTTATACCATCTCTTGCAGTAACCTCATTCAACTTTGATAGTCTAAATAATCTGGCTTTTATCCTATAACCAATTTATGTCTGCACCATATATGTCTGCATTTAGCCACATATCTTATTAATAAAAATCTCACAATGGTTGATTGAGGTTAAATCTGGTTAAAATTAACCTAAAATTAATACCATTTTACATGCCAAATATTATATGTTGGAATTGGTTGCCATTTTATAAACTGGTCCTTGCATACTCTTATTCATGAACTTCTTCAAGGTTAAAGTTTTAAAATTTTCTGGGCCTGTGTGTTTGCTATATAGCTCTGTTTGCCTTAATATTATGAACTTGGTGAATATTTCAAATATTCCTCATGTTTTTATTTTTGACACTATATGGCAGGAAAATTATGTTAATTATAGACCAAACTCGGTTCATAAGGATGACAGTGGTGGTATAAAACGCATGCAACTGATTGCCCGTGCTGCCGAGTCTATTGCTGATGGCGATATAGTGAACGTACAGATTCGCAGATATCGACAGTGGCAGCTTTCTCAAACTAGTTCTCTGGCATCATGTATAATTCCGTATGTAGCCTTGTCACTGCTCTTGGAAATAACAATTTCTTAAGTAAAATTTTCTCCATCCAGTTCATCTTTTCTCTTTATCATTGTTTCAGTGCTTCATTGTTACATGGGCCAAGGGAAGTACTTGAACAGGTAAAAAAACAATTTATCCTGCTCGAGTTATTGCCATATATAATCTCTTCTCTGACCCCTTCATTTTTTTACTTTCGGGCTTATGGTTTTGGTAAACGCCATGTCATCAGTCCTTAAATTAAATATATTGTGTTGATGTTATTGGGTTCCTTTTTGGTATGAAGTGAGGAGAAAGCAATGCCCAAAATAAGAAAATTATAGTGTTAGTAATGTGATTGATGTGCTTTATGTTATTATTATTGACATAGAACTTACTAATACTACACTTTTAATCCTAATTAAATATGGAAACAAATCATGAAAATAAGAAAATATGGAAACAGATTCTTAGTGATAATCTAAGAAAACATATTTCATGAATAATGTTGTGATTATATAATTTTCATATATTTTCTCAATATGCTCTTATATTAATGCCATACGCGGGGGATTAGTAGGAGTAAGATTAGTAGGAGTAGGGAAGATATTTTACTTTTAGTTTGGTTGCATTCCCTGGTCTAAATACTTGGTTAGATATAAAAGTATTCATGAATCTTAATAATTAAAGTATTCAGCAGTCTTATGAATGGTTTCATATCTTGAACAATAGTCATATGTGATGATAGGCTTTTAAGGGGCATTTGTTTCTACTGGCCCTTTCCATTAAACTTATCTTGTTATGGCTTAAGCTTTGCATCATAACGGGCATCATTTCTGCAGGGAGAACGAAATTTTAACCGATTTGGTGGTTGGCTGGGGAAGAATTCGACAAGGAGTAAAAACATGAGACTTATGGATGACCTGCATGTTCACATTCTTGCATCTCGCGAATCTAGTTCGGGAAGGTATATAAATGCAATATTTTACCTCACTTTTTCTCATGCTTGTCTATTAGGGTATTGGAAGTTATATGTCAGGTAGACTTTTAGGAAGCAAATATTTTTGTTACAACATTGTCCAATAGAATCAGTATGATTTCTCAATATATTGCAATGCAGGGACACTATTCGCCTGGAATACCTTACTCTTCTTCTTAAAAAATTGACAGAACCTCTCAAAGTCCTTCCTAAGGTTGGAGATACATTATGACTTATTATTTTCAAACACATGGAATATTTTAAGCTGAAATGCGGAATTTTAGTTGATTAATGCATGACTTTTTGGAAATTATCAGGCTGAAGCTGTCGAGCAAGTTGTGGAGTTTATGAATACATACTCAATCAGTCAGGAAGATTATGATACTATAGTAGAGTTATCAAAATTCAAGGTCCTGTAACTATATTTAATCTGCCTCTTTACGACAAACTGATATCAACCTCGGGTTAATTTTTTGATATTCTACTCTTCAGGGTCATCCTAATCCACTAGATGGCATACTGCCTGCTGTCAAGTCAGCCTTGACAAAAGCATACAAAGAGCAAAGCAAAACTCGGATGGTTCGAGCTGCAGATCTAATTACTCTTCCTGGAATTAAAAAGGCACCTAAAAAGAGAATTGCTGCTATATTAGAACCGGCTGATGAAGAAGTGGAACAAGGTGATGGTAACAATGCCTTGGATGAGAGTGAAGAAGAGAACAACTCTGACGCAGATGAGTCAGGTAAGTTGTGTTTTTTTACTCTGCATATACATTAATTGATTGCTTATACATTATTTTATGATGCATGATTTATTTGAAGGTGCTGCAACTGGTGAGAAGCTGAAGTCAGAACTTCAAAGTTTGAATTCAAAGGGTAGGATATCATTTGCTTAGCATGTTGATTGATTGTATTTCTGTAGTGATTTATCTTAAAATAGAAGAACGGAGTGATATATGATCTATTTGTGTATCTAGGCATGCAAGTACAATTGGAATTAAAGGGAACTGCAAGTGCCAAAAAGGCATCTGGTGGTAGAGGTAAAGGTGCTTCAGCATCTGGGCAGAAAGTTGCTCAAACGGCAAAGGCTCCTGCAAAAAGAAAAAGATGAAGAAATATTAAACGTGCCTTTTTTGCGGGGACATTACTCCAGAAGAGTTGTATATGAACCCCTTCTATTTGTGTAATTGATGTTAGATCTATCTAAATTTTCGAGTTGTGTTTTATCATCTTCTCTAGGGAGGATTCTGTGAACTAATTTGTTACTTTTGGTCATTTTTAGCTATTTTTTCTTAAATCCAGATGGTGCCTTGTGATATAAAATTAAAACAAGCGAAAAGTAAAGTTTTTATGGTATAATTATAAGATTGACAATGTTGAATAGGGTAGAGATAAAAATTCAACGAGAGAATAAACTCGGAGATGATAATGTTGTACTGGATGATAATGTTACACAAGAAATTATAAATGTTCACATTCTTAGAGAGGTGAGGTAACATCTTAATCGTAAATATGGATGAATAATTTAGGTAGTTTGAGTATTTGTTAAGGTTAGTAGATTTTGTTGCAAAAAGAGTATATCAAACCGGTCTTTGGATCCACTTCTTCCCTCTTTCCTTTTCTTTCACGCAAAGCAAATGTAAGATGAGAGAAAATTAATAAAAAATCATAAATTAAAGAAGAGGGATGAAATTTAAGAGATGGGCATTGCTATATAGTATGACACTAATTGTTCGTGAAAGGCGAATGTGTGTTAAAGGGATAGGTGCAACTTCTAGACTATACTGAATAAAGGAGGTGGTTGTATTTCGTAATATAAATCATTTCTCATAAGAGATAGAGATAAATTAGTGATGGAGGAAGTTAGAGAAAAGAGATAAAAGAAACGATGAAAATAAAAGCATGATAAAAATATTTTTATATCAGTTCTAAGTTATATTTTTGAGTCTGCATGATGCGTTGAGGACTATTCAGTCGTTAGAGGATTTGTTGGGAGTTTGTGTTTTTAAGCAAGGAGGTATATGAGATAGTTACCTTCCACTGATTGAGTTCACTTATAACAATAGTTTTCATTTCAGTATTGGTATGGAACCTTTTGAGGCATTGTATGGTCGGAGGTGTAAAACGTTTTTGTGTTGGTACGAATCTGGTGAAAGTGTGATGCTTGGGTCCGAAATTGTACGAGAGACTACGGAAAAAGTGAAGTTAATTCGAGAAAAAAAATGAAATATTCGCAGAATAGACAAAAAAGAGTTACCATGACAAGCGAAGGAAGGACCTTGAATTTTAGGAAGGAGAACATGTCTTTTTGAGAGTCGACCCAGTGATCGGTGTTGGGCGAGTGTTGAAATCGAAGAAGCTTACTCCTTGGTTTATTGGCCCGTATCAAATTTCGGATAGAGTGGGAACTGTTGCGCGTATAGGGTGGCTTTACCACCTAATCTTTCGAATTTATATGACGTGTTCCATGTGTCGCAACTTCGGAAGTATATTGCGGATCCATCTCATGTAATTCCAATAGATGACGTACAAGTAAGGGATAATCTTACGGTAGAGACTTTACCAGTAAGGATCGAAGACCGTGAAATGAAGAAACTGACAGACAAGGAAATTCCTCTAGTTAAAGTAGTTTGGGGAGGAGCAGCTGGAGAGAGTATGACGTGGGAGTTAGAGAGCAAGATGCGAGAGTGTTATCCAAAATTATTCACATAAGGTAATTTTCGAAGACGAAAATATTTTAAGTGGAGTAGAGCTATAACGCCCTATTTAAACACTTAGTCATTGTTTGTTGATTTTGAATTTGCTTTGATATTTTGTGGTGAAACTTAATTTTGAGGGAAATACCGATGATAATAGATTTATGGGATAATACTATTTTATTAATATTATAGTTATTATTAAGATTATTAATATTATTAATATTATTATTATTATTATTATTATTATTATTATTATTATTATTATTATTATTATTATTATTATTATTATTATTATTATTATTATTATTAGTGGAGTATTAGTAATAATAAAATACAATAGAATAGGGTTAGACATTTTGAAAGAAAAAACTATTGTCATGTAGAAACAGAGAAGAGAAGAGAGAACTAGGACAAAGAAAATTCTCCATTGTTGAAGCATCAAAGCTGCAAATTAAGGTAAGGGGGTGAATGTGTTCTTTAAATTGGTGATATTAATATGAGAGGGTAGTGAGGGTTCCTTTCCCTCTTTAGGTTTTTCATGAAAGAATTGATGAATGTCTTCTTGGTTTGAATTCAGTGATTCCATGTGATTTTTGTATGAAATTCGTGATCCAATATATGCAATGAACATGTGTTGCTGCTGATTTTTACTATTGTTGTGTTGTTCATAGAAATTCCAAATCTGAAAAAATTGTAGATCTAGGGATGTGACGAAAATTGGAAGAATTGATGTAGGAATTGGTGCAGGATCGTAGAATTGACGAAGTGGAATGAAATCTCTAAGTTAATATGTGAAGGAATGTTGTTTTGGACCCAAGATCGGAGGTTGGAAGTACTCAAAACGAGTAGAAAACGAACTGATGTGATTGTAGGAAAATTTGTGAAGCTAACTGGTCATACGCGTATGATATGCGTATGGGGGACGTCCCAGAGGGCCGTACACGTATGGTACGTGCCCTGTCCCCAGTGCCAGCGCGGCCTTCTGCCAATATGCGTATGATACACGTATGGAGAGAGGCCAAATGCGTATGGGAGGGTCATATGCGTATGGTGAGTTTGGGAAAAGTTGAAGGGAAGAAAATGCTTCTGCTCGTACGCGTATGGTACGCATATGAGGTCTGAGCGTAGGAGTTGTACGCGTACCGTAGGCAGCAGCAATACACGTATGGGCAGGTGAAGATGTAAAAATTCTCGTTTTCGCAATTTCTTCTCGCTCTCGCGTGTGGAGTGTATTCTCTCGATCCATAACGATTAATAAGGCTTAGGTGGACATAAGGAGGCTAGCAATAATAATAAGTTAAGTTTGAAACATGGGATTTTATGTGGAATTTATGTTGTGTGATGACGATGATGATGGTTTGTATTGACGAATGTTGAAGGCTTATGTCTTGTGGTTGCATAATTACGTTGTTGCATATGATGTCGCATGTTGTATAGTGATGAAGGCTTATGCCCTGTTGTTGGCCTATAATGGCATTGTGATGAGGGCTTATGCCCTGTTATTTCCCAAATTGGCACACGAGATGAGGGCTTATGCCCTGATGGTACCACATGCATTGAGTTGATGTCAGTCTCATTGCATTGCATTGTTTCAAGTTGATGTTGTATTACGTGAATGATTTGTCATGTTGCGAAGTGTTGTATGATATGTGAATTATGTGATTACTACTCCTTAGCATGTGATATTTACTGTGTATTTATTGAATGAAATTCTCACCCCTTTTGTGTTGTTGTCTGTCTGTGCTCCTTTGGGAGTACAGATAATCAGGTACCCGAGTAGTGCTTGGAGTGAGTGTTACCTGATCGAGTCCTAGGAGTCGCTCTGATACGTAACACGGGAATTGAGGATCTTTGTTATGTTTTCTTTATTTCAATTGTTACGTATCTTCCATTTGACTTATGCTGGACCCCACATTTATGGAGTTTTATTTGTTGTTGAAGTTGTAATGACATGGAATTGAACTAACTTTATTATTTCGCTACCAAATTGATTATGTTTGAATAAAAGAAGTAATATAGCGGCTATAAACTTTATGAATATTTGAAGTATGTGACATCCTGCTTATGTACTCGTATATATGTTAATGTAATTGCTATTGTGGATAAGTGGGGGTGTTACACGCACAATTTAAACGAACACTCAAATTTTCTCGAACACGTGTCATCATGTTTTAAATTCCTAGTTTTTGCAACATATTTCCCACTTCTCTCGCATGTCATTACAACAAATGTTTGTCTTCTACTACTACCATTGTCAGAGCTTTCAATCGCAACGCCAAATCCAAGTTTGCTAGCTTCCTTTCAAACCCATTCAAGCATATGTTGACGAGGGGTGAAACTTTTTTCATTTGTAAATTGTTGTCGAGCATCTATCATGACATCAATCGTTTTAACATCGTCCTTCACCTCATTCGGCTTATCATCTTCATTGACCTTGTCCGTAATCTTTAAGACAACATTGGGAATCATGTCAGGGTGCACCATATCTAACATGAGCAAAAAACAGAAATTCGATTAAAACAGAATTATGTTCTGTAACAGAGATGTTTTCAGAATAACACATATGAATTATGGTAGGTTGAATTCGGATATGTATATCCGAAGTGACGTTGTTTTTCATCTTAAAATCAACATCAATGTAAGGAATGTGAGATGAAATTAGGAAACTTTACTTCAAATTATATTTTTCTATGCTCTCTTTGCTATTATCAAACACTTGAAACTTAGTTTGGAGACGAAAAATTAATTGAGAATGGTTGAAGTTTTGTGGAGGATTTTGGTTATGGGGGGAGAAAGTGAATGAAATAGTTGTAGGAGTGACCATGTAGCAAACTTATATAACAAGGGTAGTTTCAGATATGCATATCCGAAATTACCTCTGACTTTTTAAATCCAACATTTAAACAATAAAACGTTGAAACAAAGAGAATTCGGATATGCACATCCGAAACATCTTAAAAATGTGATTTAAGGCGCGTTCAGATATGCATATCCGAAAAATATTTTAAAATTTTCTGATATATTTTTTATTTTATAGAGATGACTTAAGAAATTCCCTTAAAATTTTCGCATAAGGTTCAATAGAATGGTCAAGTTTTTCATTTTCAAGAATTTGGCAGCAAAATCTCCATTACAGACCATCTTCCAATGTAAACGAATTTTGGCTAATGATTTTTTCCTCCAAATTTGTATTGAAGAAATTTAAATTGGAAGAAATTTCATGCTAGAAGAAGAAATTTTGTTCCCCGAGTCTTTAAAAAAAATTGTTACATTTACAATTTTTTTTTGACATTTTTATTACATTTACAATAAATTATTTTATAATATTTATTACATTTGTAAAAATATTTTAAAAAAATTATAACACTTTTATTTTAAATATTTATTTTATTATATTTTCCAATTAATATTAGGTACACCACATTTAAATAATAAATGTGAGGTTTGTATTTATGAAAATGCACTTTCAAATTAGTATTCTCATCTTTGAATAAAACATGATTTTCCCCTTACATTTATCAAGTTTTAATGTGTAAAAATGTCTAATACAATAAATATTATAGGTAAGAGGGTCAATATTTTTGTTTTCTTATGTATCCTAAGAATATATATTAAAGATATTATAATTAAAAAATTTAAATATAATTAAATATAATAAAATTATATTTAAAGTTTGAAAACATTAAATACACATATTTCAAAAAAGTATTTTTACAAACAAATATTAATTTATACCTTTGAAATACATATTAGTTTTTCCTTGTTTTAATACAAGAAGATTTAAGTGAGTTGAATTTCATACCTTAAGAGTCAAAGAATATTTACATTACATAAATACTTACAAATTACTATCTACCAGCAAAATCATCAAAGCAACTACAGAAATTAAATACAAATCTTAACAAAAAAAAGTTATATCTAACCAAAATAATTATTCCCAAAAAAGACAAGTTGGGAAGTGCCATCTCTTTACCCCAACTTTCCCACTTGCATTAAAAGAAACCGTTTTAGTTGAGGAGTCGTATTTGCAAAGGGCAATTAGTTAGTATATTAAATCCAAGTTTCAAATATAGAAATTCCCTCATATTGACACTTTCATAAAATTATGATTTTTTCTTTCACACAACTTATTATTGATAGTACATCAACATATGAAGTGCATATTTTAACTACCAATCCACTAAGTTTCAAAACTCAAACAAAAATAAACATAGAGAGATATACATGAATAAAAGATCATATTACAGCAAAGAATAATTTTATTACCGTATTTCCATTTTTTTTCAAGTAAAATTACTTACTGAACAAGGCACGGATTCTGGCCCTTTTTATTATTACACAAAACCTTTTCACCCCACAACCTTCTATTCAATTATAATAGCAGCAGTACTAATTGAACCTAATTACATATATATTATTCATATATGCATTATATAGAAACTTTTGTGCTCACATCAAAGACCCAAATCCACAAGAAGAAAATCAAGAGGGAGAAGAAAAAGAAGTTGGTTTAACCAAACCAATATATAGCAGCAGCTGCTATTAACCATTCAAGTAAATCTGGTCTTCATTCATATTCCATTGACTTTTTACATCTTTGGAATTTCATGTGCATCTGCAACAAGCTATGATTCATCAGAATGTGAATAAATTAATAATGTTGATGGATGCTATGTAAATTAGTTGAAATCTCAACTTACTTTCAATTTTTTTTTTAAGCTTGTAGGCAAAAATATTGACATAATATTTCATGGTTTAATAATTTGTTCAATTTAATACGTAAACATTAATTATCTATTAATCAGGAATCACAAGAAATCAAGGTATAATCTCACTTTTCTGTTTATTGACAAGAGGTGAATCTAGAATGCTGTCCAAAGGTTCCAAGCATCCAGCAAGCTGTTTCAAGCAATTTTCCTGCCATTTCATTTAAACTTTAGCTTAAAGAGAAACTAAGTAGTGATCTCTACTCAACCATATTATAAGCTATAAAATATCTCTAAAATGGAAAAAACACAAACCATTCAAACATTAGATAAGATAATCTCTATCTCAACTTGTAATCAATTTTCCCGCGCTGTCTTATTTTTTGTTCTTTCGATCAACACGGTCTTGTTTAATTTGATATTCAATTCAAGATTCTTAAAGCTTATGCAGTTACCTTGAAATAATGATCACCTTAATCTTTTATAGTGACATGTATGAAAACCACAATGTTTAATTTAGTAAGAAAAAAAGTTAAGACCTTTACTTTTCAAGGTTTAGATTAGACTAGTTTCTTAAACCTTAAGTATTCTATTTGCTACTTCAATTGTCTATATTTCCTAACAATTTAACCTAACATTCTTAAATCAGAAGAAAACAATTGAACAAAAAAAAACTTACACTAAACTAGTCTACACACTTGTCATCATTCCAACATCTAAGCTCCAACCACATAGTAACAAGAATCATGAGCAAAAGCAGAACACATAAAGTAAAGGCCAAAGAAAATTTTAATCCAACCAAATTAATCAACAACACATCATAATCACCTTTATCATATTTTTTTCCTATATTCTTCTTGACTTAAAACACACCCAAACAAAAAATAAAGCAAAAGCGAAAGAGAATAAAGAAACCAAAGCAACGCACCTCTTCTTTGCTTAACCACAACTTTAGCGGGTTGACCCGACCGGGTTTGGGTCACATCCTTATCAACAACAACCTCCTCTTCCTCTTGATGAGGAAACAAAACCCCATCAATCCCTTGCACAGAGATCCTCCCATCAGTATAAATATCCGGGTCGAACAAATACGCCGACCCATCGCCATGCCCGAATTTAACCGACCCATCAGCTTCCTGAGCATCAACCTTATGAGGCAATCGAAGTGTGTCATAACGAACCTTCCCGAATCTTCTAACAGCATTATACATACTCTCTTCAGTTTGATACTCGGGAATTAAATGATAATACATGATTTGTTCCGGTGAACCTGGTTCACTCAACTGGTCCGTTGTTAACTTAGCCATGGCTTCGTCATTCGGAGCTAGAACGGTTAAAACATAACCCTCTGAAACTAACCGACTCATCTCCGTCGCTAACGACGTTAGGTTTACGAGAATATCCGCCATCTCGTTGTAACCGCCGTAATGAATCAGCGTTTGGATGAAATCTTTCACCTGTGCCTCGCCGTTGAAATGGTGGCGGGGTCCACCAGGTCCTGAAAGTTAGTTACAAATTCTTGTTATAGATAAAATTTCTATTATTCCAAAAATAAAAGTCAGTTACAAATCAATAAAATTTTCTATTTTTCCAAAAATAACTAGTATACCTGGTGCTGGCGCCGGTGCTAGTGACGGTCCTGGAGCCAATGCGTCGTAAATTGGAAGAGCCGGCGGTGAGCCAGGGTTTTGCGGCGGTGCTGGTTTTTTCAAGCGGTGAGTTCTAGGATCAACTTCCGGTGCTCCTTCCGGTTTAATTGCGGCGATGGATACGAGACTCCTGCGACGGTTGAAGTCGTCTTGTACCGAGCGTGGAATGAGGAGACGTTCGATTCCGTGGATGACGCCGTCAGGTCTAGTGACGGCGTTAAGATGGAGAATCCTTGCGCCGTTAACTGTCCATTGTTGAGAAGTTTGGTTTGGTTGGATAGTGAGGTGGTGTTGAAGGGAGAGTGTTTTGTGTCGGGTCGAGCCGGGTTCGGATCCGTTGATTCGCGTTGGAATGATGTGTGACATGAGGAGAGATTGAAGAGACTTGAGATTTCGTGGTTCGAGGAGGAAGGTTTTGAAGTTAGGGTCGAGATCTCGTTCAAGAGCTTCGTTTTTGGGTGCGAAAATGGTGATGTTGTTGTTGCCGACAGTGTCTTCTAGTGTTTGTAGAAGCATGGCTTTTTCAACGAGTTCAGCGAGTTCGGTGTAATGTGAGTCGAGTAGAGCCACCAGGATTGAGTTTGAGTTAATTTGAACATTTGAAGAAGAAGATGAGAGGGTGAAGGTGAAGGTGGAGAGAGAAAGAAAGAGGATGAAGAACATGCGGAGCTTGATGACGACGCCATAGATGCCGCAATCCATGGCCATTATCAGGTTTTTGTTCTTCTCAGACAAGAACAGAACCAGCTAATATAACTGAATACAAACGCTACCTCTGTGTTTATGTTCTGTGTGTTGTGTAATGTGCTTGTGAGAGGAGCAGAGACAGAGATGAATGATTGTTAAATGGTGTGAGAGTTTTGTTGGGTTGTTTATTTAGTCATTAAGATTAGTTTAGATGTTAATGCTCGTTTGTTTTACCTTTGGTTATGGTAAACTAATATGTGTCGGTTGCTTTGTGAAACTCAAACTACACGTGGCGCTTTTTGATTGAAGGAGAAGAGAGCGGTGTGTGACATTCAACTGGGAGTAGAGAGTGGGGTCCACTACCCTCCTAACTGCTACCTGGCCCTTGTTGATATTTTCTCTTCTCACAGCTTGTCATGAGTTAATGAAGGATAAATAAATAAACCCACTTTTAGTACTAGTATTATATATATTTTTTGAGAAATACTAATCAGTGTTTTTAGAGCACTTTTTAAACATTTTAAGTGGTGATTTTTTTTTAAATATATGTATTTAATATATTGAAATTTAAAATTATTAATTTTTGTAAAAAATATTTTCCATATTTTCCATATATTTTTTATTTCTTTGGATGTCTTTTTGTGTGTATTATCTTTCACATTCTTTGGGTTGAATAGACTAACATTTTTTTATGAGTGTTTGCTTTTGTTAATTGTTTTGAGTTTTCAATTGCATTATTATTTATATTGGCTTTTCATAGCATGTTAAAAAGTTTTATAAATGGGTAAATTAATAATTAAAATTGTGTGTATTATGCATAATATTGTTTGAATTTTATGAACTTGTGAGTACATCTCTAAAATTGTAATTTTTCAGTAACTTATATGGCTAGAGAATATGACACAGCAAAATAGATTAGTCTGTACCCTTTCATATGGTTCACCCGTCAATTTATCCTAAATAGATTTGTAATTTCTATATTTTTTTATTGGTTTGATTCATTTTGTTAACAACAGTAAATATATTGAAAGATATAGAGGATAAAGTAGCATTTTTTTAATTTAAGAATTTCTTCATGAAGAAGAATGTGATAATATGTGATAATTTTTTTAAATTGGTTGGGAGAAGTCGCAGTATTAATAGGTGTTAGTGCTTTTCAAATTGTTTTTCTATGGTCTTTTTAGAGTTGTTGATTATTTATAATGTATCATGTTTTAATAAAATAAATGAATTGCCTTTGCGATCATCATAGTTGTGATTCCCTTGTCGTCTGATGTTCATAAAAGATATTGAATACAATGGATACTCATGTTTTTGGTTCTATCGGTCGACTTGAGTTGGGCGTCTTGGACGTGTCTTGGGTTTCGCACACTCAGACCTATCTTAATGTGTCAAATCATTCAGATATGGGTGGCTTGGTAGCTTATCCATGATATACATCTCAGAAGCCCCTCAAGCACGAGACCCAATAAAGGTAAAGTGCTTAAGTTGTCTGAACTGGGTGCCTCGATGGTCGACTTGATAGCTTATCCAGAATATACATCTCAGACGTACATAAGCCACCTAAGCGCGAGGTCTGGTAAGGGCGAAGCGCTTAAGTTGTCTGAACTCGGTGCCTCAATGGTCGACTTGGTAGCTTATCTGAGATATACATCCCTGACGTACATAATCCCCCCAAGCATGAGGTTTGGTAAGGGCGAAGCGCTTAAGTTGTTTGAACTCGGTACCTCAATGGTCACTTTGGAAGCTTATCTGGGATATACATCTCGAACGTACATAAGCCCCCAAGCGTGAGGTCTGGTAAGGGAGAAGCGCTTACGTTGTATAAATTTGATGCCTCGATGGCCAATTTGGTAGCTTATCCAGAATATACATCCAAAACGTACATAAGCCCCACAAGCGTGAGGCCTGTTAAGGGTGAAACACTTAAGTTATTGGCGGTTTAGAATGCGTCTTCGACTGGGTAATGGATTTAAAAACCAGACACAGACTCCAACGACAATTGGAATTTTAAACGATGTTGGTGTTTCTCTCTCTGCCATGTGTCTGATGACGTATCACTGGGATATTCCACTATTCTGAAATGTTTTTAGTAATGTTGATTATTTATGGGAATTGTGTGCCATCATTTAATCCTAGTGAGTAGTAACTGTTCACCTAGTCGTAGGTTCTAAACGTTTTAAGTTAAATTTTCTTCAGCCAAAAAACATTTCCTTCCAAAACTTCTTTGCTCGCTTCACACTCCTGCTACCCAAAAAACTCCTTCTGTTTAGAATTTCTCAAGTAATTTCATCCTTATCCGGAGTGTGGTGAAATTGGTAAGGTAGTGGCTCATGCAACTTCTTTGGAGCGACGTCGATTGTGGGATGAATATCTAAAAATAAATAAACCCACTTTTAGTACTAGTATTATATATATTTTTTGAGAAATACTAATCAGTGTTTTTAGAGCACTTTTTAAACATTTTAAGTGGTAATTTTTTTTAAAATATATTGAAATTTAAAATTATTAATTTTTGTAAAAAATATTTTCCATATGACCCATATATTTTTATTTCTTTGGATGTCTTTTTGTGTGTATTGTCTTTCACATTCTTTGGGTTGAATAGACTAACATTTTTTTATGAGTGTTTGCTTTTGTTAATTGTTTTGAGTTTTCAATTGCATTATTATTTATATTGGCTTTTCATAGCATGTTAAAAAGTTTTATAAATGGGTAAATTAATAATTAAAATTGTGTGTATTATGCATAATATTGTTTGAATTTTATGAACTTGTGAGTACATCTCTAAAATTGTAATTTTTCAGTAACTTATATGGCTAGAGAATATGACACAGCAAAATAGATTAGTCTGTACCCTTTCATATGGTTCACCCGTCAATTTATCCTAAATAGATTTGTAATTTCTATATTTTTTTATTGGTTTGATTCATTTTGTTAACAACAGTAAATATATTGAAAGATATAGAGGATAAAGTAGCATTTTTTTAATTTAAGAATTTCTTCATGAAGAAGAATGTGATAATATGTGATAATTTTTTTAAATTGTGTAAGATAATTTAGGCCGTGTCTTTTCATTCATGTGATAGTCATTTATATATATAGTACAAATATGTGGTTATGATTCTAATAATCATTGGTAATTAATACTAATAATAATCTTTTTATATTTACATATCTAATACACCCCCGTAGTCGAAACTGGAGGTGAACGAATGTTGAGACTATCACGAAAGTCATCAAAGAGTTGCAACGGAAGTCCCTTTGTGAAGATGTCAGCAATCTGAAAACGCGAGGGAATGTGAAGAACGCGTACTTGACCGCAAGCAACTTTCTCACGCACGAAATGTATATCCATTTCAATATGTTTGGTGCGTTGATGTTGAACAGGATTGTCGGAAAGATAAACCGCGCTGATGTTGTCACAATATACCAGAGTAGCTTTTGTGACAGGACAACTTAGTTCCAAGAGTAAGTTGCGTAACCAACATGATTCAGACACAACATTAGCTACGCCTCTATATTCGGCTTCGACACTTGAACGAGACAAGGTATGTTGGCGTTTTGCAGACCATGAGATCAAGTTGTCACCGAGATAAACACAGTAGCCGGAGGTAGATCTTCTTGTGTCAGGACAACCGGCCCAATCTGCGTCTGTGTAAGAAATGAGCTTGTCGACAGATGAAGGGTACAGATGAAGGCCGAGATCTACGGTACCATTTATGTAATGAATAATGCGTTTCAAGGCAGACATGTGTTGAGTTTTTGGATCATGCATAAATAAACATACCTGTTGAACTGCATATGAGATGTCTGGTCGAGTGAATGTTAAGTATTGCAATGCTCCAGCAAGGCTACGATATTCGGTTGGATCATGGTAAGGGTTACCGGATGAACCACTGAGTTTCGCCTTTGTGTCTACTGGTGTGGGGGATGGTTTGCAGGAGGACATTTTCTGCATATTTCTTTTGAGAAAGAAAAAGGCCTTCGGGATGTTTGGTGACAGAAATACCCAGAAAATAACTTAAAGGCCCCAGATCCTTCATGGAGAATTCGGAACTCAATTGTGCCATGATAGATTCTCTAAGAGTGTCAGATGATGCAGTAAGAATAATGTCATCCACATACAAAAGAATATAAGCTATATCATTGCCATGATGATATATAAAAAGAGAGTGGTCAGAAATACTGTGAGAGAAGCCCATTGTAGCTACATAATCAATAAAGCGCTGGTACCGGGCGCGGGGTGCTTGTTTGAGACCATATAGAGATTTCTTCAATAAACAGACATGATCAGGAAATTGAGAATGACGAAATCCAGGAGGTTGATGCATGTATACGGTTTCATGAAGGTTCCCATGCAAGAAAGCATTTTTAACATCTAATTGATGAAGACACCATGATTTAGATAAAGCAACACTTAGAATCGTTCGAATGGTAGCCGGTTTGACCACCGGGCTGAATGTGTCACCACAATCAATACCTGTTTGTTGATTTGCACCATTACCTACAAGGCGAGCTTTGTATCTCTCAAAAGATCCGTCAGATTTCTTTTTATGCCTGAAAATCCACAAACTTCGAATAACATTAGCATTAGACGGACGAGGAACTAAGTCCCACGTCTTATTTTCAATAAGAGCATCATATTCGTCTTTCATGGCCATTTTCCAATTTTGATCATTTAATGCATCAATGGGATTTGTAGGTAGAGGGGATATGGAGGTTGAGGTTGATGTATGGAGATTGAAGAGTTTGCGAGGTTTGATGATACCGTGTTGGGCTCTGGTTGTCATTTGAGGGGATAGGGGTTGATTTTGTTGTGAAGGTGGAGGAGTCGAAAGTGATGTAGTGGATGGGGATGAGACGATATTTGGTAATGATGGGTTTAGAGGTGATGTTGTGGATGGGGCTGATGTTATGGTTGGTGAGGTGGGATTGTGGGAGGGTGACGAAGGAGAATTCAAAGAAGATGGTGATGGTTGGTAAATGTTTTTTTGAACTGGTGTAGTTAGGGGTGAAGT